AATGTGGCTCAGTGGTAGACAACTTGTTTAGCATAGAGGAGGCTCTGGGTTCCATCTCCAACACCAGACAAACACATGCACGCATGCACACATGCACGTGCACACACACACATGCACACACACACGTACACACACACAAAGCATATACACAGCACACAGACACACACCCTCATCTTCATCTGCTGTTCAACTTGTAACTGCTGCTTCTCCAAAGGCCCCAAGTGTCAGAAGTGACTCCCTGCTAACCTCAAAGCAAGCATCTTGGGATAAGATGGAAAATTCCCTGGATGTCCATTAACAGTAATATAGATAATCAGGTAAGAGTCCTGCAATGGAATACCACACCACAATTGAAAGACACAAACCATTGCTCTGTCCAACAGTGGTCCTTACATGGAAGGAAAAACAGACACAAAAGAGTCTGTGCTGCCAAGCAGTGGTGGTGCACGCCTTTAATCCTAGCACTCAGGAGGCAGAGGCAGGTGGATCTCTGTGAGTTCCAGGCCATCCAGAGCTACACAGAAAAACCATGTCTTGAAAAACAAAACCAAACCAAAACAGAAGATTTGATGCTGTGGAATTTCTTATATATGAGGCTCAATTCTAGGCACAGCTCGTGTCCCAAGGAAGAGAACTCTTTTACCTGGGGATGGTTTGTTGAGCTAGATGGTTAAAATTGGGGGCTTGCTGTGTGTGAATATAATTAACTAGATAGGAAAGTTAAATGAAAGATTCAGTGTCATTTAAAACTCAAATTAATAATAAAATTAAATGTTTCAGAATGTGAAGTAATTGGGGAGAGGACATGTAGTATGGTGTGTGTGTGTGCATGTGTGTGTTTGTATGTGTGCACGCATGCATGTGTGTAGGTGCGTGTGTGTGTGTGTGTGTGCGCGCATGCATGTGTGTATGTGCGTGTGTGTGTGTTGCTGGAACATAACTGCCTGCCTGATAAAGGTTCCAGCATTCAGCCCTAGCCCAGCCCTTACTCTATGATTTCCTGAATCTGGTTCCGTCCAAGAGAGGGCTTCAGATGACCAGCCATGCCAGAGAGAGACCCAAGGCTGAGAGAACCCCTGTGGGTTATAAAACCATCGTGTAAAGAAACAAGACTGGCCCACCAGGCATATCACAGAGAAAGTACTGATCAAGGGACAGAGAGCTGGGAACAAAACACTTAGGTTAACCCAGGCAGAGTGTATCACTACTGATTGGCTAGTGGAAGAAAAACAAGGACCCTGCCCTAAGTTACTTCTAGGGTTCTTTCTTTTTTTGATGTATTTGTTTATATAAATATATGTATTTCTCTATATTGAACAGTTAAAAAATATCTAGATAGGAGTTGGGGTTGTGTTTGTGGGTGCAGCTGGTGCGTGCAATGTGATGTCCTTTTGTCCCCCAGAGGTGAAAATTACAACCCTCAGGTTCAGAGACACTGGGCTCTCTCATCAGAGGTCACTGGGCATGTGGTATTAATGATTCTAAATTGGTTTTGCCTGATTTTGAGTGGGTCCAAGCAAGCTCAGCACTGCAGAGTCCTGTGTGAGCAACCCAAATGTGCATAGTCCATTGTTCTCAATACGTCCTGGGATGAGTCTGCATGCATGTGTACACACCCTGCAATTTTATATTGTAGTTACAGATGACAATCGGTGGCCTATGGTTGTTCAGTCTCTTAAATAAAAACTATGTTATTACGGTATGATTTTTCTAAATGGCCTACCCTTCAAGATGGCTGAAATTAAAAATTTCTGTGTTTAAAAATCAGTCTTAAAATGCCACCACCATTTTTCACTTAGAAGGTCCTTTAGGGCATTCCTTTTTAGTTTCTTGTTCTGGACATTTATGATTTGAGTCCGGGTGCCCTGATTTTGGGCATAAATGTCAGAGACAGTTGGAAGACACAGCTGTAGGAGGTGGAACGAATGACTCTCAGAGCCAAATTCTCCAGCAAAACTTTGCAGCGTTGCAGCTGGAACTGGTGGTTCCCAACTGCAACCCCTGCACATGCGAAATAGAAGCAAGAGGATGGCCAGAAGTTTGAGGCCTATCCTGGGCTACGTAGTGAGCTCCAGGCTAGCCTGAGCTATATGGAAGACCTTGTCTCAAACCCCCAAATCATTCTTTTGTAGTGTGGAAGTCTTACACCCAATGTCTTTACCATGAGGAACTTGAGGGTTTTCCTAGGGATTTCTCTTCAGGTTTCCGTTGATCATTGATTCCACACAGACGAACAGAACAGAAAGAGGGCAGCGAATCAAGGCCCCAAAACATTCAGGGAGTCAATGCCACAGTTGTCAGGAAGAGATTCAAGAGTTTCCAATTCTTACTTAATCCCTGGAAAGCTCTCGAGTCAAAGGAATATCCAGGCTTTTTAATTAATGAAGAAACATTTTGAGAAAGCAAAGAAATGTTGATTGGTGTGGAGGATGAAGCGGGAGGGGAGAGGCACTGGCATGGCACCAGGCACTCAGGAAGGTACCCCTGCTCTGTCACCAGTCCTCTGGACACAGGGTCTCTGGACTGTTGTCAACCTGTGTTCCTGGACTGCCCTTTTAAGCACAAGACGGTCTGCGAAAGTCCAGTACAGAGCGCTCCCCCAGTGGCCTTGTCCAATCCGCTCTTGCCCCTGCCCTGTCTGTGGCGTGCCCCAGAGAGTCCCTGTAGGTGCCTAGTGTGTTGAAATGTTTAAAGCTTCCCTGGTCCCACGCCACGCATTGGGTTTTCTGCTCAAGACCTTTCCCCTCGCCACACTGGGCAGCTTTGCTTTATTACTCAAAAAGCAAGAGGAATATGCAGGAAGTGACCAGATTTTTTTCTTAATTCCAGAAAGTTCGATGAGCCATTAATACAGACTCATCATTTATTCAGCAAAGTCCTGTAATATTAGCCCATGCTTAGAGACTTGCTTTTTGCCCAGATGACCAACAGGACAATCTGATTTCTCTGCTTGTGGTCACTCTTCTTCCAGAACCCAGCAGAATCTGATTCTAAAACCACACACAGAGGTCTGCCCTGGGTTTCGCAGTAAAACACACTTCAGGGACGCCATTCTGACTGACCAGGCTAAGTCAACAGGAGTCACAATTCCCAAGTCCATTAACTTCATCCCTTGGGAGGCTAGAGAGACCGAAGTGTGTGTGCCGTTTATCAGTTGGCTGAGCCACTTCAAGGAATCGCTGTGTGTTTGTGGGCTGGGGGCTTGGCACCCTAAAAAGGTCACTGTGCTAGTTCAAGGTGGGATTACCTGGGGAGAGAGAGCATCAAGCTCCAAAGTCCTGTTGGGCTCAGCTTTGACAACCACCCCATCTCCCTCCCACAGTCCAGGACACTCGTGAACATACAGCTTGATTGTCAGTTGTTCTGAGGGAATCATAGATTCTAGTTTAGAATGAAACAAGGGCCATGTGGGTCACTGAACTCAGGAAATAAAACTCTAATCTTAAAAGCCTGAGACCAAGGGGCCTGTGGGAAATGGCCGGGCAAGGAAGGTGCAGGCTGCAGAATGAATCTATGAATCACATTTGTCTCTGCCAGTTGACCACCCTAGATGCTAATGTCATTGTTAATTTTTGAGGCTGGGGATGAAACTCAGGGCCTCCCACACATAGTCAGGTCAAGTCTTAAGCTACATCCCCCAGTCTGAGATCGGCACATTTTAACTGCTCCCCTGCAGTAGAGATAGTAAAAGTGGAGTTTCCCCTTGCATTTTGTTGTGCTTTTCTTTGAGACATTTCACTGTTTAGCCCATGAGAGCCTCAAACTGTCCTGCCTTAGACCCGAAGTGCTGGGTTTACAGGGAGAAGCCACCATGCCCAGTTCACAATTGTTTGTAGCCGGCTCCCTCTGAACCAGGTTGACCTTGAACTTGTGGCAGTCCCCCTGCCGCTGCCTTCCGAGTGCTGAGATTACAAGCCTGAGCCACTGAGCTAGGTCCACACTTTACAACACATGAGCTGGTCAGTTTCTTCTTCCTTGCGAAGATCTGATTTTTCTCTCCTAAAAGCTAGAGAAAAGCTGCTGGCTTATTCACAGTAGAAATTGTGACTATTTTTCCATCAGCAAATAATCCCCCTTTTAGACAGACTGTAAAATGTTTCGACTGCATGTAAATTACATCATAGAGGCTCAGAATTTTTAAATTCTCAAGAGAGCAAGGAAGGCATACTCGAACCAGGTATTTGTACTTCTACTCGCTAGCTAAAAGTCTCTCCAGTTCCCCCCAAAATCCAAAAGCTCAGCAATTGCTTCTGGTGACGTCATCTTTGGAAAAAAGGATGAGGTTTCATTGGGCAAAAACTCCCATTTTATTTAATAAAACTTACTTCTTCAACACCCAGAAAAGGGAAGAAACTCAGATACAAGCAAGCACCCACCAACCATCCTCTGTTTCAGAAGCACACAGAGGTTACCCTGCATCAAGCAAAGTCCTGGTGTCAGTTTAGGAATTGGCCACCTACAACTCCTTGGGCAAAACTGCTTTTGCCTGGCTTTGTAGAGATAGCGTTTAGACTGGGTTTTACCCTTTGGGATGGCTGGGATGAAGGGGGTGGGGTGAAAACTGATTTGAGACACTGTGATTTCATGAACTTCAAATCTCAGTATTTTACACACACACACACACACACACACACACACACACACTAAATAGGTGTAATCATAAATAAGTATATAAATAAGGTCTCGTTTATAAATAAGGTCTTGTTGGAGCTCAAGTATTTATGAAGTGCCATCCCCGGCTACTTCTGAGATGCTTCAGTTCACTGGTCCCTGAACTTTGCATTAGCTCGATGACAAGCGATCCCAAAGAAAAACAGTCTTTGGCATGCCAAGGTTTGCCACAAATACATCTGACTTTCCTAGATACCAGCTACAGTGAAATTTCACGGTAATTATGATTCTAAGTAACTGTTCTACTAATGACTAATTATAAAGAAAACACTCCCCAAGGAATTCACACCATAAAATATTTATTAGAAATTTAAAGTGATTTTCTCCTGCTTTGGCTATGAAAACTCTTTGATTCTTATCTCTGGTGATACCGGTTGCCAACAACGTCACCCAATCCCCGTCATCATGAGATGACGGACAGATGACAGATGCTGTGGCCAGACCTACAGAAGACCAAACCTCACAGTTATTGAACAAATTTTGGCTTTTCTAGCAGCTGAAAACTTACTTACACACATTTAATTTTTTCCATAAGTAATCAACATACAAATTCACTTGAATTTGATAACTTAAAACATTGGCAGTGATTGCAGAGTTTGCTGAAGACCCAGGAGTCGTGTCTCCTTGGAGAGTTTTTCCTCTGACTTTCCTAGCTCCTGCTGCTGGAAAAATAGACCATTCTGATAACAAGAGTATAAAAAAGCCTTCTGATTTGCAAAGCAATTCATGTCTGGGGTCCCCGTGATGACTGAAGACCTGTACTGAGCATCTCCACAGTACCTTTCTCTGCATTTTTTACCGATCTTCATCTACACATCGATAATTCCCTGCCCTTGGTACTACTTAACCCAAACCTGGCAGAAAAAAAGAGCCCCAGGCCACATCGCATGGCAAAGTCAGAAGTAACTAGGAACACAGCAGGTGGCAGCTCATGATTGCAATACAAAAGCATCAAATTACTGCTCAGGTGCCACTGGAGAGCCAGGAAATAAAAAGGCTCCATGGAAAAGCATTGCCACCCCGCCCCCCAGAATTCTGAATGTCTTCTTTAGATACATACATTTTTTCATCTCTTTAACATAGAAAATCACTTCGTAATATGATCATACACACAGTTATCAAATTAAAAAATAGCACAAAATAGCTCCCCCCAAAGCATAAAAATAGACAAACTGTATCTTTCACAATGAAATTAAGACAAGCCTCGCTGCTAACTAGTGTCCGAGTTCAAACCGGCTTCTTTTCATAATAATTATAGTATTTGCATCTCCTTTCAGCCTTGAACACTGATTTAAAAACCAGCCTAGGTGAAGGGGAGGTAACAGGTGTTCTCTCGTGCAGCTGAAACAGAAGGAAACAATGGCCACAGAGAAGCTCTGACTCCGGCAGCCACACCTCAAGGGCACTTAGGGGCTCAAGCATTTGTCACATGCTTGAGGATACAGGTGGCAACTCCAGGGGCTGTGTCTTTCCATTGTGAGTCAGGAACCGTGCACAGAGAGGCTGCTCTGGAGACGTTCTCCTACACATGAAGTCATCCAGGAGAGCACCGATGAAAATACCACCGACTCATGCCGACTTCTGGCACTGGAACCTGGCCTTGTTTTGCTTGGTCTCATAAAGGAGTCTACTCCACGCCCTGCGAGCTATACGGTCACTGCAGGGTACATCTTCTGTTCACTGTTGGTGTGGGCAAAAGAGGGCTGGACTTGCCTGTAGCCGGGCTGCAGGCCATCCATGAATGGGGGCACTGGCGTCATGGGCACAGAGTCGTGTTGTACCGCATACCCCACATACGGGGTGTGCAGGTACTGCCCTTGATGGGGGACAATCTGGGTGGCCTGCTGACAGTTCAGGACAGAGAAGTTTGTGGGCATGTTGACGTACACATTGTTCATGGTTCCCTCGGGCAAGCAGCAGTTGGTCTGTGATCTGGTTGGGGGAGCCCGGGCCCCCGAGTTCGCGCTGGAGCTGGAACTGGCAGCTGTGCTGGATTGCCGAGAGGATGACCCCCGGGACGTGCTGGCGCTGGGGATCATGGGGATGGTCTCCATCAGGCGGTTGCCCCCTGGGGCTCGGCTCTGCTGAGGATCCTGCTTTGGCCGGAGACATCGGCAACAGCACGCAGCTACGAGGGACCCGAGGATGATGAAGGCAACGAACACAGAGCCGACGATGAGAAACGGCACATAGATGGGGACTGGAGAGAGAGCAGAAACGTAACGTTACGGCTCACATATGACTATCGTAGGACCCAGTGAGCGGCGAACGCCAGGGACAGGTGTGCATAACAGTGCACTCAGAAGCGAAGGACGAAGGCTGGGTCAGCTTGGTCACCAGTACGCAAGACGCAACTTCCAGGGCCAAGTGCTTTGGAAAGTGGCCAAGGCCGCCCCCCCGAAGGCGTGGCAAGGCCCCCAGAAGCTAAACTTCATAATCCCGCTTAGATTCCCCTAATCTAACACCAGACCCCTTCCAGGCTGATCTAGATGATCGTGCAGTAGCCGAGCAGCCTACACGTAAGTCTTCCCTAACAGGAAGCCCCAGGGTCTAAATGGAACCGAGTTTACATGTCTCTAAATCTGTCTTTTTCTTCTAGGAAGTTCTGCACATTCCTTGACTTCTTCTTGACATTATTTTTAACAAGTTTCTTCTCTTACAGGCAGAACAATAAAAAAAAAAAAAACAAGTAACTTAGATCAGATTATGACCCGCTATCATTTCCAAACAGAATATGAGACATAGTGTCACGGGAGGGAAAGACAAGCACAGTAATTAACACTGGGGCAGTGAGATGGCCCAGCAGATAAAGGCTCTTGCCACCGAGCCTAACGACCTGAGTCCAACCCCCAGAACCCACACGGTGGAAGGAGAGAGTCTTCTGCTAAAAACCTGTCCTCTGATCGCCACACGCATGCCACAACACAAACACGCATGCACGCACACATACACACACCCCAAAAATAGACAAAAGTTTTTTCTTTAAAAAAAATGTAATATTTAAAAAGTGCACAAATTTCTTAAAAACCCATCTTAATAAAAAGGGAGAACAGGAAAATAGTTGCCAGAGGCTGAGGAAGAGGGGGAAGAGGGAAGGCTAGAAAGAGCCAGTGGGCACTGAGTTAGTCTGAAAAATAAAACTGTAAAGTAGCAATAAAAGCCTGTTAGTAAAACCAGTAATGAACTTCATTTTATAATTATTTAAGAAAAAAATAAAAACCAACCAAATGAACATTTTGGGGCCCTAGCATGGTGGCTCACAGTTTTAACCTCAGCACATGGGCAGCGGAAACAAGAAAACCGTCTTGAGTTCAAGGCCAGCCTAGGCCACACAGTAAGTTCCAGGCCAGCCTGGGCTATAATGTGAGACTTTGTCTTAATATATATTTTTAATTTTATATTATATTTTAAAATAAATAAAAGTTAAAAATGTTTGTGGAAGCTATAGGAATGGCAACTCTATAGGGCTAGCAAGTCATGTTAGCAAGTGGTGCGACAACTGTTCAGGACACAAGTAGGCAGGAGGAGCCTGCAGAAAACCTCTGAGGCACTCCTGTGGAATTCTACCTACATCCAAGAAACTTGCCTTTGGTGTGTTCCTGATTCCCTTTGTTGGCAGGGGTTGGGCGTGGGCATGAGGTTTTGGGAATTGAACCTAGAACCTCACCCATGCTAAGGAAGCGGTCCACCACTGAGCCCAGCCCTCTCTACTGCATTCCACGCATGGGTCCCACCAGCCTTGGTGGAGCCCAGCTGCCAGCGCTTCTGATGGGGCAGCACGGAGCCCACACCTCAAAGGTCAGATCTGCGAAGACCCTTCACAGAGACACCGTTCCAGGAGTCACGCTGTTCACACACCGCACAGAACCACGGAGAAATAATGACTTACAACTGAACATATCTCATGGGTACGGAACAAGTGGGCAGTGGCCATGGCTGAACAGAGCCACTTGTACACTTGGGGTCCCTTCAGCAGACTGGAAGGCTTGCTGCCATCTGCAGCCCAGCTGGCTCCCACAGCTGTACCGTGCTCATTAGACTAGCCCTGCAGGCCAAGTAAGTCCAGGGCGGGAGCAGCGAAAGGCAAGCTTTTTCCTACACATGCTATAAATGTTTCACTCCCTAAATTGAGATAGCAGCCCCCACATGTTGTACGAGGTAAACAAAAAGAACACAGGTGAGGTTCACCTCCAATACGATAGCAAAAACTAGCTGAAACCAGTCTCGGCCCACATAATGAGTTTTGGGGAGAAATAACTGTTCTCTTTCCAGGATTTTTAATTGGAAGTGTAAATAACTATACAGGGGTAAAGAATGCGGTGCTACCGGGAGCCAGCCCCTGGTAGCTTAATTGGGCACGTTGTCCTTCACGGCAGCAGGGCTGTGAAGGGAGCAGGACATTTAAAGGGAAGGTTTAGGAGAAGAGTAGAGGATACCCATGACCTAGGAGCAGAGCGGAGGGTACCCATGACCTAGGAGCAGAGCGGAGGGTACCCATGACCTAGGAAAGGAGTGGAGTGTACCCATGACCTAGGAGCAGAACAGAGGGTACCCATGACCTAGGAGCAGAGTGGAGGGTACCCATGACCTAGGAGCAGAGCGGAGGGTACCCATGACCTAGGAGCAGAGAGGAGGGTACCCATGACCTAGGAAAGGAGTGGAGTGTACCCATGACCTAGGAGCAGAGCAGAGGGTACCCATGACCTAGGAGCAGAGTGGAGGGTACCCATGACCTAGGAGCAGAGCGGAGGGTACCCATGACCTAGGAGAGGAGTGGAGGGTACCCATGACTTAGGAGCAGAGTGGAGGGTACCCATGACCTAGGAGCAGAGTGGAGGGTACCCATGACCTAGGCGCAGAGTGGAGGGTACCCATGACCCACAGCAGCAGTAATGCACAGCTGCTGCCTCCAGCTTTGATCAACGCCATCCCGACGTTTTAGAAAATATTAACAAGCCCAACTTAACAGACACCTTATTGTAGCCATTTGGCTCCTTTCTGCAGGCTTTATTCCCAGACCACACACTCTGCGAAGCCGAGCTGAAGTTCAGATGGTACCTTCTCTAGAATTACCCTCAGTTCTCCTCTCTTCAGACTCTGGGCAGCAGGAGCGGCGAACTTAAAAAATGCTTGACTGCTAAGACACCACCAACTGAAAAAAGCTGCTGGGCGGGAGGCCCTGCCAACCAGAAGCCAGCAATGCCAAGGCTCGGGCAATGCTACTCCTACACACACACACACACACACACACACACACACACACACACACTTGATTAGGCAGCCTCTCCACTGAGGGGATGCGTCTCACGAGGAAATGCAATCTGCTAAGTTATCTGACAGGCTTCTTTTCAAACTCTGGCTTTGACTGTTAAATAATCAAAGCCTCAGTGAGCAAAGTTGGGCACTGCTCCAACGTCACATCTATCAAGTCTGCCTCAGGAGACCAACCAGATTCCTTAGAGGCCTAGGTGGGCACCGGGAACTGTGCACTGGCTCATGGGGAAGAGGTGAAGTTTCGCCCACGGAAAACTGCCCCCCACCCAGCATTACCCTCCCAACTACCTTCCTTCTGAGGCGCCTTGGAGGAGAACCCTGGGAAGGTCTTCTCCAGAGAGGGGTCACACCCTTGCCATTAAGTTCCCTGAAAACTGGTGACACGGGGAAGGGAAGGCCCTGAACAGAAGCAACGTGTTTTGTCTCGAGTTTTTTGCCCCACTGCACACAAAGTTAATAAGTAGGGAGCAACAAAACAAAACAAACAAAAAACTAAGTCTTTCCTGCTACCAGGCCCTTTCCTAAACTCTCCAAGCGTCCAGGTCCCTGCTGCCCAGGCAAAGTAACTGCCCTCCCGTTTTGCACCTGGTCGCTGATGCCCTACCTGCCGAGCTGTCCGGGCCTTCTCTGTCTGTCCGGCCAGGCTCCCCCACACCCTGCTGGCGGTCGTTGTCACAGCCTCCTTGGTCCAGGCGCGCCTCGGCGCTGGAGCAGCAGTAGCGCAGCGCACAGCTGCCACAGCAGATGGTGGCGTCGCCACCGTCGAAGCGCTCGGGGCACTGGAAGCCGATGCGCCAGACGCCCTGCGCGTCCAGCCAGCCGTGGCAGTACTCGCCGCTGGCCCGCGCCCCCGCCGCCAGCAGCGCCGCCAGCAGCAGCTGCAGCAGCGACGCGCGGTGCCCAGAAGAGGTGACGGGTGAGCCGCGTCCGCCCCACATGGCACTGCCCTGGGCTGGGGGGTGATGTCTCTGGAGGATGTAGATCTCCCCAAGAAGTTGTGGCTCAGCGACGCCAGGGACCTTCTGTGCGAGCCACTCCCCTCTGCCGCGACACCCAGGCTGCAGAGCCAGGGTCTAAGTCATCCCTCCTTGCTAGTGAGCCGGTCCCGGCTAGACTTGGCCTTCAGAGGGCATCACAGAAGGAACGTTCCTGGAGGCTTGGCGTGCGATCCGACCTTCCCTGGGCATCCCCGAGGGGACGCCGCGCTGCGGATCAGGAGCCAGGCTATCGCTGGAGCGTTTCAGTGTCGGGGTCCCGCGCGGTTGTGGTGCGTCTCTCCTCTATTTACCTCCGGGGCTAGAAGCCACCAAAGAAGCGGGCAGTGTGCGCAGAGCTTCGGGCAGCAAGTGCAACAGCCGGCCGCCCTCTAGCTCCGCAGCCCCGGGCTCGATCCTCCTCATGGCTCCGGCCACCGCTCGGGACGCTGCGAGTGTCCGCACCTCCCCTGCAGTCCCGGAGTCCGCCCGGCTGGCGGCGGCCGCGGCTGCTGCTGGGCGCGGGGCCAGCGGGCTGCCCGCCCTGGCTTCTGCTGCAGCTCGCGTCCCGTCTCCTTCTCCCTGTCGCTGGTGCGCCCGGGACAGTGCGCTCCAGTGGGAGCCGCCCACGGAAGTTTCAGTCCCTCGGGCTACGGGAGCGGAGGAGCGCGCGGCCGCCCCACGTTCGCCCAGCACGGCTGCAAACCAACTCCGACTGCCGGGCTGCGCGCTGCGCTCCCCTCTTAAGAGGGGCTGGCGGCTCCCCTGCGCGCATGCGTGCTGCGAGGGCTTCCCTCCGCCTCGGGACTCCAGGGGACACCCGCAGCCCTTCACTTCCCTACACCAAAGGTGTGGCGGTGGCCAGGCAGCACTGCAAGTGAACTGAACAGACGTGTGGAAAACGCTTTTTAAGTCGGCCACGCCTTGGAAGCACAGTTAAAGCAAAGAGCGCAGAAGCAAAAGTTTGCTGCGAATCTCCAACATCCAACATTTCCAGTTACTTTGACAACCCTCCAAAGGATAATTACTAATTACTTTCCATGTTACAGACGACACGGTCGTCACTCGGATAGACTTGTCTTGCACAGCTTCCAGCCTCCGGGCTCACGAAAAACACGAATATGGTCTAAGTTGCGTGCGTGGCCTCCTGGTGCCACTGCACGGGACAGTGAAGAGGTCAGCAGGGACACCAATGGTTTGGTCAGTCTAAATGATCTATGTCACTTTATTTGCCTCCCCCATAGTTGGGTGTGGTGCTTGCCGAAGTCCAGCAGAAAGGTGCCCCCGTGAAACATGTGACCTCGGAGGCTTAGACAGCTGCAGCCAGGAAGGCAAGGATCCAGACACAAGAGACTCTAAGAAGGAACGAACAGCTCCGCCCTTGCAGAAAGGAACAGGTGCTGATACTATTGAAGTAGCCATGAGTATTTTTACAGGACCAACTGTGCCTTTCTCAGCCTGGAGTCAGTCCGTGGAAATTCTGGACCCAGCCCCTGAAGGAGGAGCCCTCGGATGTTGCTGGACTCTGCTTCGCTGTGTATTTAATTAAAACCCTATCTGCGACTAACACCCATGCCCTGTTCAGGTCGACAGCTACAGAATACAAAGCAATTTTATTCATAACAAAGACATTTTGGGTTAAACCATTATAGGGCTCTTAATACAACCCCCTCACCTCAGACAGTGAGAGTTAGCCTTCCGGTTACCACCCCAAAATGTTTGCAGAGAAAATTGGACTGCGTGCCTGCTGTTCCCACAAAACGCTTTATTCTTATTTAAGCTGCCTCCAAGTACCACCCCAGGGCTTGCACCCGATGAGCAAACGCTCTACCACTGAGCTCACCCCCAGTCCTGAAACCATGCATTTTAAATGGACCAAATACCAATCTTCTATAAGCTCAGAAATGAACACAACTCCAACATGGAGGAGCCATTCATTTCATAAACACATTCTGTGTGGCGTCCTTGAAGCCAGACACCTTGGTCATTTCCCTCGAGCAGGGTGGTCTCCCACCCACATACTAACCAGGCCCAAACATGACATGGGGCACAATCAGGTTGGTCTGACCATAAACGCAGGCAGACCCTAAGGTCTCTGAGATGAGAGAGAATTTGGACTGAAACATAATCAAACACGTAAAAACAATACAGTATGATGGGACCTACGAGCAGCCATGTTCACGGCCAATCTCTGTGTGAGAGGTGGGTGTGCACATCTATGTCCACATACATGAGCATGGGTGTGGTGGCCAGAGATTGATGTTAGGCCTTCTTCTCAATTACTCTCCATTATGAGACAAGTATCTTACTGAACCTGGAGCTCACCAATTGAGCTAGACTGATTTTGGCCTATAAGCTCCAGAGATTTGCCTGTCTGAGCCCCTGCGCCCCAGCTTCTGCCTCAATGCATGCACGCACACGAATGCACGTGTGCGCGTGCACATACACACACACACAGACACCCGCACACACCCACACACCTGTGATGGGGTTACAGGCCAATGCCACCACACTTACCTTTTTCTGTAGGTGCTGGGGATTCAAACTCAGGTCCTCAGGCTTGTATAGCACACGCTTTACCGACTGATCCATCTCCCTGCCCTTTACAACACAGAGTCAAGAGAAAAGGCCAAGAGAAACATCGGAGGACTGGTATTTAAGTTGAGGCCGGGACAAGCCAAGGTTTGTCAGAGGGAGTCACTCTCTTGGTCAGTATTGTCAGCTTCCATCTGCTGGGACCTGGCTATATTCCAGGCACCTTGTCAAGAGTTTCACATCTGTGCTCTCATTTAAGCCTCACAGCCACCCTAGAAGGAAGACATTGCTTTGCTGATTTAATAGGTGAGGACAAGTTTCCCAGCCCGCACTGACAGAAAGTATCGATTTTCTTGGACTCACTCATTTCTTGCTTGACTCCAAAGACCATTTACCAACCTTCTGGTTGCCATAGTTACCATGTTCCATATCAGTATAAGTTGATTTACTTGGTATTCTGAGGGTTAAATACTGTTCTAAATTTTATTTTACTTTTATAATTATGTGTATAAATGTTTGTCTATGAGTGGGTATGTACACGTGTGAGCTCAGGAGCCAGAAGAGGGCGTTAGATCCGCTGGATCCGAAGTTACAGACAGTTGTGATCTGTCCACCTGGGAGTGCCAGAAAACTCCAATCTCCCGTAAGTGGGTGAGCACCTGAAGTCTTTTCCTTGATTGTTGTTTGATACAAGATATTTGTACTTAGTGCAGATAGTGCTTGCTCTGTACCCCCCCCCTTTCCTGTCCCATTTGTCTGGGTCTCTAAAACCCATGGCTTGCCAGAATTCATGAAAAAAAATTCCTCAGCATTTCACATTGAGTTGGTCAGATGGTTTGGTTTTACCGTGGTTTAAGTACAATGCTGTTGGGTTTTTTTCCCCAAATAGTCAACTATTAGTGTATAATAGGTAAATTTGGAAGTGTGGGGCTTTGAGGAGATTCATTTTCTCTTTTAAATCACTGTATATCTCTTTGATTGTTTCTCTCCGTTTCTAACCCAGGGCTGGGGGTTGGGCCCAAAGTCTTGTCCCTTCTAAACAGATGTCTGCTCCTGAGTTACATCTCCTTCAAATTAAGGGGAGACTTGTGTCGTTGTGACTCAATGTGATCATTGTCTCCAGTGTTCAAAGATCCCACTCATTCTATCTCATCTCCTGGCTTGTTTTTATTTTTACTGTGTACCTAATACGCTGTGTTGAAATTTTAAGAAATAGCGTATCAGTTACTTTTCTATTGTGGGTGCTGCAACGAGGGTTTTAGATGGCCTTGCTCTTTCTGAAGGAAACCTAAAGAAATTCCTTCACTCTCCTTCACAGGCCAGCTGACTTTCTCCACTATTTTCTCCTAAGATACCCAAACTAGCTCCTGTAGCGTATGAGTAGCAGCAACAAATAGTTGTGCACCTCTTATTTGCTTCTCTTTGTTTCTCACCCAGTGCTTGGGGTTATTATAACCAAAACCAAAATCTAGACGGTCTGACCAAGACATATTTAAAACATGCAAAAGTCTGATCCTTCTCTTTTAAAACCGGAATTCTATAAAACATTCTCGGGCTATTTTTTCCTTCCTGTAGGTGCATATACAGATGCATTTATATGAATAAAATAATTTTTAAAAGAAACTTCTGGTCTTTGTCACGTGGGTAAAGTTTGTTGGCACAGCAGTCTTAGGGAAGTCAATATGCCGGTTGTCCAAAGTAGGGTTTGTCACAAGACTTATGTGACCCCGTGGAAATCTGTCGAAAAAATTATGTCTCAACCAGGAATTGTTGCTGCTCAGAGACTGTGGGCTCCCGAACAAAGGTGAGGCGCGGAGGGTCAGATTTAGCCTGGTCAAGATCATGCGTCTTTTTTCATAAGGCCCGAGGCCACTTGTTCTCACTGGGGTGCCGGATGAGAACAAGATAAAGCTGGATTGTACCTTGGGCCTGAAGATTGAGGAATTCTTGGACAGGCGGCTGCAAACCCAGCTTAGATTTGGACCTGACCAAATCTATGCGGACACAAGTCATGCCGGTGTGTTCATCCGCCAGCGTGATATCAGGGTCCAAAAGCACGGTGATCAGTGAAAACCCATCCTTCGCTGCCTGCCTAGAAGCACTTTGACTTCTCCCTCTTCTCTCCTTAAGGTGGCGGCTCAGGCTGTGTGAAGAGGAAGAATGCGAAGAAGGGCCCTGGTGGTGCTGGAGTAGGTGATGAGGAGGAAGAGGATAAAATTAACACTTTCCCGGACTGGAGGACTGTCTAGTTGACTAATATAACAGAATCGACACTTGACAAAAAGAAAGAAAAGAAAAGAAACTCCTGACATCTCACTAGCACCTGTTGAAAATTGTCTGTCTCCAGAAATGACAAGCATGGGCTGTGGCAAGTGGAAGAGCACTTGCCTAGCAAGTACAAGCCCTGGGTTGATTGCCAGTACTACAAGACTAATGAATTAATTCTGACTAGTC